TCCCCTCTAAAACTGGCTACTGGAATACAATTTTTGCCTGACTGTCTGGTAGAAACCCTTCAGGGAAGGGATTTATCACTAGCCCCCGCGGGCTTTTCGTGGAAGGTCATTTGGAGCGTGACGTAGTCCTTTGAAGATGCAGAAATTACTGCTGACTCATTGCTTTGTCTACTTTGTCCTGGGGCGCTTTTCGGTGCCGTTCTCGGGATATACTGGGCTCTTAGCGGGGGGCGGCACTTTTTGTTTTTCAACCTATATGGACCTACCTGTTGATGATATTGTATGTATTTTTATAGCGTTTTTAATAGTTTTCGATTGCTAGAAGGTTATAAAAACATTTTTTAAACTTATAAAATTCGAAAATGTCGATCTTTTTGGGTTTTTTTCATACTTTTTTGATAAAAAAGGCCAAAATTTTCAAAATTTTTTTGTAGTGTTTTTATCTAAAAACTATGGAAAATGCCGCAAAAATGGTTAATATTGTTTTATAGGGCTAGAGATCCACAGGGAAAAAATTTGGTTCCCCGGCTAACAGTCCAGAACCGCTAGTTTTCCCGATTTTCCCCATTTTTTGCAGGTCCCCCAGTCTTGTGTATTTGCGCATTAATGGCTATCACTTTCTCCTGGCAGACACACGCCAGCGAGAGTGCCCATCATCACGTAGTTATGGGGGAAGGGGGCGGAATTGGCGGTTGGTGTAGTGGATAGTGGTGTGCGACCGTCCGTCGGGATATATTATTGCGTACCGTGTTGCCTCATCCCCGTTGTATTCCATTCTATCAGGGGAGCAAAAGAAATGAAGCTACTGCTCTCTCTCTGTCGCGCTCTCTCTATTTGTCTACACCTCCTCTTCCATCTCCTCCTGCTCCTGCTCAGAACTGGATCTCCTTCCCGTTTGCCATTGGCAAGGCTTTTCCTGCCACCCCCAGCCATTTTTGTTTTCGGATTATCAATCAGCAGGCGGCTGGCACCATGTGCAAAAACTGGACCCCAGCCACCACTCGGATCAGGCTGAGCTTGGAGGCTACGAAAGGCTCCTCCGCACGTGTTCGAATAGTATTTACTCGGAATTGGCCTGAAAATTGGGTACGGTAGTTGTTAGCTTGTTAGCAGGTGCCTGTAGTACCTAGGCGACATTTGACTTGACTTCCCGGTCCCTTTAACAACCCGATTTTGGTCGAAAAACTGGTGCCTAGCTACCTTAAGCTAGCTAAATGGCGTAGACGCATTAATGAGAGGAGTCTAGTCGTGGAAGGCACTTCGAAATCTGGTTCACGACCCCCTGCGTTGATTCCTGGCAAATGACCAGATGAGGCCGCAACGCAACCGCGCCGCATGATCTTTTGCCCCTGTTTGGACGTGAAAACTCTTGGATTTAAAAATTCTGACGCTTGTTCTAGAATCCTCATCGGCTTTGTTGATTCTAGACTTTTTAATTATGACAATTGACGAGAGAATCATCGAGATTGGGCTCCTTACAAGGATTACGGCATGTAATCGCCGCGCACTCAAAATGTTGCTAATACTCAAACTTGGCAGGTTTACTCAATAATTTTACGTTATTCGGGGCCGGAAAAAAAAAGGGGGCCGGGAAAAAAAAAAAAGAAAAGCCCCTTTTTCTTTTCTTCCGGGGGGGGGGCCGGGGGGCGGGTTTTCCCCCCTCTCCCCCCCCCTTCCTCCCCCCCCTGGGCGGGGGGCAACAAAATCAAGTCCCTGGTACTTCTCAGCAGCCCTTTCGTTTTTCGACCAGTAGGTTCAATCCCCGCACATGTGAATTTCGACTTCCGAGCCCCTTTAAACCTACGGTAATTGCCCTAAACTATACCCTAGCTTTTCCCTTGCCCGTCGTCGGCTTGTTGTTATGCCCCCCCCCATAAAAATGACTGCCCGAAAAGGTGCAGATGCTCAATATCTTCATATCATCGTCCGCGCCCCAATCGGGCAGCCCGAGCAGCGCCCGCTCAGACTTTACACTTATCAGGTTTCCTGTTTTCTTCGTGTGCGTGTGCCATCGTCTTGGGGTGGTGAGGGTAGTGGTGGTGGGGTGGCAATAGGTGTGGTGTGGAAGGGTAGGCAACGGAATTGCCCCCTCCGCCCGAAAAAGCGTCCGTTGACCTCGCCACAAATGAGACACTCGCCTGGGGCGTTAGACGCTGTTTTTTATATAAAACAGAATTTTTAAATGTAGCATTGCCTGTTCTCTCTCTATCTGACTCTCTATCTCGCTCTCCCTTTCGCTCTCTATCTCTCTATTTCTCTCTATCTCTCTCTCTGTCCCTTTCTCTCTGCATGTCTCTATATATCTCTCTCTCTATCGTTCTATCTCGCTCGCTCTCTCGCTCTCTCTCTCTCCGCTCGCTCTCTCTCCTTCCCCCCCCCCCGCCCCCCCCCCCCCCCCCCCCCCCCCCCCTCTCTCTCTCTCTCTCTCTCTCTGTCTGTTTCTCACAGCACATGCTAGTAGTTATGGAATTTTGAATTATTCCAGGCTAAGTAACGCTAAATCTTCATAACCCCAAGTATTTTCTGTTTTTTTTTTTGCTCCATTATACGCCCACCGACTTATCGCACTCGCTGCCCCGGTTTCTCCTGCAGCTTGGCTTTCCAATCTCTGTAATTTCCAGAAAAGTCTTTGGACGTTTAGTTAGTTCCTCCACCTCTCCGGCGTCCGTTTTTGACCTTTTTGAAAAGAATTCCCTGCATATTATCGCTCCTAGAAATCATTGCCACCTCCCAGGTTCATCGACCCGACCCCGAAGCTTCTCCCAGCTTCCTTGGTAAAACGTTGCCGTTGTCTAATTTGAGGCGGGGGAGGGGGGGGCAAGGTCGAATTGTCTGACTAGCCCTCGTTATTTTGGCACTTATTCATCGTCACGCAATGTCTGTCTACAACGTCACAAACCTCAAATGACGTTGGAGGGCAGGCTTTTTTTTAATGTTTAGCGTTTTTTAGGTTAGCTCAATCCTAGTGAGCTACGGTTTACGTTTTCTTAGTATATTTTTCGACACTCTATCGAATGGCGTTGAGAAAATTCCGAAAAATAGAGAAAATATTGAAAACTGACGGAAGCTGAGCATAAGCCTAACCGAAGCCCTAATCCTGGACCTATGCCTAACCGAAGCCTAAGCCTAAGCCCGAGCGACGCCTAAGACCAAGCCTAAGCCTACGCCTAAGCCTAACCGTAAGTCTATGCCTATACCTAAGCTTAAATCGAAGCCTAAGCCTGCCCCATTCCCCACTATTCCTAAGCCTAGGCCCAGGCTTAAGCGCATTCTAAGCCGAAACCAAGCCTAAGCCCAACCCAAGCCTACGTCCAATCCTAAGCCAAGCCTAACCTAAAATGCTCACTCCGAACCCACAAGACCCTGGTTGACTCACGCTGGTGCGGAACCTTTTTCTTTGCCATTTCGACTCCCCTCCCTATTGTTATTCCAACGCCGACTCCTTGACCAATGCCGATTTCACCTCAAAAAAGGAAAGCTGAGCCTCCCCCCTTGATGGCAGGGGGGATGGTTGAAATCGCCCGTGGGGGGAACTTAACCCGGGGAGCTTTTGCGTGGCGGGGGGGTGAAAGGGGAGGTTTGTGTAGAGGATGGCAGCAGCGGAACCCGTCTTCTTCTTCCCTCTCTTTCTTCTGCTCTTTCTTCCAGTGAGGAGGTGCAGAGAGACGATCTGTCTGACAGTCTATAAACCATCTCACTGTCGCTCCCTCTCACTGTCGCGCGCTCTCTCTCTCTCTTTCTCTCTCTCACCCTCACACCGCACAAATGCCACCACCGGCCATCGAATAGTGCACACTGGCTAGCCAACAGCAACTTGGATGGCACACCCCAGGGGGAGCTTCGCTTTTATCAGGTGGAGCAACACTATCGCTTTTTCACGTGCTCTCTGTGAGACTTGTGGTTCGGCATTTCTGGGTTATTTTTGCATTTAAGGGCGTTGACAAGCCATGAAGCGGGTTATCTTTCTATGGCTCTCTCTTTCATTCTCACTCTCTCGCTTCTCTCTCTCTCACTCTCTCTCTCTCTCTCTCTCTCTCTCTATCTCTCTCTCGTTCTCTAGCTTACTCTCGCTTGCCGTCACAGATTTTTTCGGCATTCTTGCTGTCTTTACCTTTAAAGGCACTGTGAAGCTGGGAAGCCTGCACTCACTCTCTCCCTCTCTCCCTCTCTCCCTCTCTCCCTCTCTCGCTCTCTCTCGATCATTCGCTCTCTCCCTCTCTCTTCCTGTCTCGCTTGCTCGCTCGCTGTCCCTCGCTCTCTCACTCTCTCTCGTGCCCTCTCTCTATTTGCCTCTGAAAATTTATTCCTTTTGAGCCATATATAATGTTTCTAACCATCTCCATCCCCAGTTTCTTTCTATCTTCAAAACACTCCAAAATTTCGGAGCACCTCAATTTTTGGGCTTCCCCCGCAAAAAAGTATCTTGTTTGGTGGGCAACCTTGTGCCCTGTGTGGCGCGGGATGTTGATGATAAACAACTTTTTACTCTGCGGATCTCCGAACCATTCCACCCGGGATCTGCCATTGATTTCTTTCTCATTTTCCGTAGAGATTTTCAGAGAATTATCGATTGATTTTCAACTATGGAACCCTTTTCAGGAGACCCCACCAAAAGGTCGGCCAAGAAAACGAGGGACCCGCCCGGTAGAGTACGATGGTTACTCGATTGGTGAGGATTTGGCTTGGGTCTAACTTAGGCTTAGGATGGGCTTAGTCTTACCTAAGGGGTAGCTTAGGCTTAGGCTTAGACTTAACTTAATTGAGTAACATTGACTTTTAAAGGGCCATAAAAGTCATGTCTATCGCTTTTCTATTATGAATTGAGCAAAACGCGCGGCGCCGCCTGCCCTCCTTGAAGGCGGCGCAACCGATTACGCAATGAAACTGCCTTGCCTGCCCCTTTAAGATATTTTACTGTAAACCATTTTTTTTCCAGATATTCTTGCTGGCCGTGAGCCTGTTGAGTCTCACGGCGGCCGGCGGAGGTGGCGGAGGAGGGTATGCTGGTCCCGCACCGGCCCTTCCACAGTACTCCGGGGCGCATCAACAGGTCAGCATCCTTCAAAGCCCCCTTTAAAGCTATAGAATTATTTTCATGTCAAAACCCCTATTTTTAGATTGCTTCCGGTCCTCAAATCGGCGGTATCGTCGGGGGGAGGCTATGCTGGCGGCGCTGTTTCCGGCGGCCAGTACGTTATTGTACACTTTACGCGTGATTCTCGGAGTATTTAGGTTCTCCTCGTACGGCCCCGACTTCAACCCGTTGCTGATGGGCGGAAATAAGGTATGTAACTTTGAGTTTGGCTAGGAAAACTAGGGAAAACGCCAAAATTCATTAGCTACTTTAATAACTTTAATTAGTTGCCATTTAAGTATTAAATTTTAGTTATATTATATTTAAATTTTATTTATACTGAAATTTAACAAATTCTCTTTTTAGGGCTACCCCGGCCTGCGCGCCCGCATCAACCAGCGCGCCTTCCAATACGCTTCCTCCGTCATCGCCCCGCTCCTCAACTCGGAGATCCAGAAGGCCCGGCTACCCCCGATCAGCCAGTGCATCCCACAGGTTAGCTCCCGGCTTCCGGACATATTCAAGGAGTCCACCCACCACCTTTTACGTTTAATTCAACTAGGTGAACGGCTGCATCCAAATCTACAACCTGTACGTCTCGCGCTACCGCTGCCCGCAACGCATCTCCATCTACCCGGCACCGCCGAATCGGCTGGCCGTTGCTGTGGAGAATCTGGACATTGGGTGGGCGACTTCTTCAAGCAGTTCGGCTAGCTCAAACCCTTGATTACGATGTTCTGTATTGATCCTGTGTTTTTCAGCGTCACCGGAAATCTTGGAGGGCAGATCCAAATCCTGCTCCCCATCGCGTTGTTCGGAATTGTGCAGGCTAACCTTCACCAAGTGTCCATCTACGTGGACCTCATCATTGAAAGGTGAGTTTGGGAGATGTGTCCTTTGGCTTAGGCTTCGGCTTAGGCTTGGGCTTAGGCTTGGTTAGGCGGCTCAGGCTTGGCCTATCAGATCTAAGTTTAGGCTTGGCTTACAAAGAGTCGTTTTTAGTGCCAATGAGGTTCCACACGGGACCAGGCCTACCTTGTGGAATTTTTTGCGCAGAATCGGATACGGCTTTAAAATTTGACGAAACGACTAGGTTAAAAAAGTTTTATGCCGTTTAAGTGCCAAAAAACGCAAAAAATTTCACCAAGATTAGCCCATTTTTCATTTAAAACGGCATAACTTTTTTAATCGAATTGTTATGCAAAATTTGAAAACAGCATCGGAAACAGCGCAAAATTCTCCTTGTTAGCCTAAATCAGCGCATTTAACTTCCTCGTTTTTTGCTAACTTTTCATAATTCAGAACCGCCAGCGGTGCCCCATACATCCGAATGGGCAGCTGCAACGTGCAAATCGGATACGCGGACGTGTGCATCCAGAATGGTGGCCTGATCGGCGATATCGTCAACAGCCAATTCAGGGTACGTATTTTGACGCTGGAGCATAATATTTGGAGCGTAGTGTAGGCTATCTATCGCATCACCGAACGCCCAACCGTACACTGATGTTTCTCAAAACACCTCATTGATTTCCAGGGTCGCATCTCGTCGATGGTCAAGGAGATGGCTCCCGGCAAGATCTGCGCCCAGCTACCCGCCATCGTCAACGAGAAGCTCAACGGAAAATTGTCCAGTAAGATTTCTACGGTACTACGATACTTACTTCTACAATGACAACGATTTCCCCCACTTTCCAGGCCTCCCTCAAACGATCGCCCTCACCCAGATGGCCTCAATGTTCGGCAGCGCGCTCGGACTTGGCGGAAGCGGCGGCGGACCATCGGCTGAATACGTACGGCTCCTTAATTCGGCTCATCAGACTCGCTTCAGTGTCAAGCTTCCTGCGCCAAGCCTCCAGTGGTTCTACCGTCCGTCTCTTCCACCTCATCCGGATCAGCACCGGCCCCGGTTTCCGCCCCGGCTCCATCTGTAAATTGCCTCCGCGCGTACAGTAAGGGAACGGTTTTTAGGGAATCGTCGGCAGTGCCCCGTTGGCCTACCGCGACGGGCCCGTCGTCAAGGTCAAGAAGGTCGCCGCCCGCGCCATCCCGGTTTATAAGACTAGTGTCCAGCGACAGGTCAGAAATTGGATCGATTATTCTAGGTTATGGTGGTTTGGTTGTAACATAGAATATGTGGTTCTGGACCGTTAGCGGGGGGGGGATAATTTCTAATGTATTTTTATGGTGTTTTTAGTAGTTTTTGATGGCTAAAAAGTTATAAAACTAGCTTTCAAAATTTTGACATTCGAAAATTTTTCTTTTTTTGCTCATTTTACGCACATTTTGACCAAAACGGTAAAAACGTTCTAATATTTTTATTATTTTTATCGTGTTTTTACATCTAAAAGTTTTTAAAATGTTTTATACTTTTTTTATATCTAAAAACTATATTATAAAAATGGTTTATACTTTGTTATACGGCCGTAGAGGATTGCAGGGAAAAATTTGGTTCCCCCCGCTAACAGTCGAGAACCGAATAATCTAAATAATCTAGTCTTATAATTTATTTTGTAAAGCTGCCGCCTCTAATTGTGTAGCTTTTGTAATAACGTAACCCTCGAATCCACAGCGCGTGTACACGTCCCCGGCGCGGTACTCAATCCTGGCCGCCTCGTTGTACCACCCGCCCCCACACCAGCTACGTGTCAAAACGCAACGACTACCCTCACGGGGTGAGCTGATCCCAGGAAGACCCGTATACCCCACGAATCGACACCGAAAACTACGAAGACTCCCGAGAAGACGGCACGCAAATGCTGCTGTTACGGTGTGGCTTTTTGCTAACGAATTAATTGCAATATATAACAAAAACGATAGGTTGTTTAATTTGCGCCATCTGGTAATATAACTTTTGGTCTTTGAATAGGCTTCTAATCACTTAAAATTCTTTTTTGTAGTTTTTAGACGTTTTTTTAGTTTACAAACTTAATATTAAATTCAATAACCTTTCTTTTTTTTGCTAATAGCCTTTCTAGGATTGAAATGAACGAAAAAAATTAAATGAGTAAAACAAAATGTAGTTACTTCATTTTCGCGTCATGCGTTTTTTTCAAAAGTGCAATCTACCAATAGCCTACTAATCAGCTAAAAACTAGATTTTTTTTGTAGTTCGGAGGTAGTATAACAAAATACAAACTTTAGTATAACTAAATCCCGTTTTTTTAATTTTGACGTTGAGTGTTTATCTAAATTTTAACTAACCCAACCCATATAAAAAAAAAAAATTTTTTTTTTTTTTTTTTTTTTTAAAAAAATTTTACCCTCTAAACCCCCCAACCCAAAAAAATTTAAAAAAAAAAAAAAAAAAAACCCCCCCCAAAAACCACCCACTATAACCGCCACCGGCTTTTTTCAGTACCCACGCCGACGTATCACTCGCCAGGCTCGATTCTTTGTGAGTTATCGGAATGTTAAAGGCCGTATTGTCGCCGGAAATTGTCTTATGTCCGCTTGGAGAAGTGCACAAACTCTGGAAATATCGGTTTATAAAACGCATAAACATCCAATACCACTGTAATTATTACATTTATGTAATTTAGGCCAACTCGACGCTCGACAATTTGGACAGCGAGACGCTCGCCGTTGAAAAGGCGGCTATCACCCGCCAAATCGGCGCCGCCCTCGATTTCGTTGGTGCCCCGAATGTAGGTCTTTCCTGTTCTATATATTTGATATCATTATTTCATTATTATTTCTATCTTTTGGTATGGAAATTACGTTAAACTCTTCCTTTCCAGGCCCCTCAACCAACCCACGCCTTCCGCTTCAAGCGCCAATCCCAGCTCCGCCCCGCCCCGCAGGCCATCTACAAGGCGTTGGCACCAATCTACAGAAAGTCGAGGTACGTCGGGAGTTTCTTTCGGTAGATTGTAAATTTCAACTAGAAAAAATATCTAAAATCTTTTAAAAAAGTCGAAAGTTTGCTCAAAAATCGGCCATTTTCGCTCGAAAATCCATATTTTTGATATTTTGTAATACAATAATTCGAAAGAACCGTGATTTTTGTTTAAAATTTGGATTTGGATCCTCTATCCCATTTGCAACCTTCAGAGGCACCGCCGGATACTCCCCCGCCGAGGGTCCGGCTCTTCCACCACCACCGCCAGTTTCGAACGCCCCCGCCCCGGTCCTCGTCCCACCGCCATCAGACGCTTGCGCCCAATGCCCCGCCAGCGGCGCCCAGGCCGAAGACCCGGCAAACATGCTCCGACAACTCGCCTCCCACCTCGATTTGGTAAGCATTAGGCTCTGGTCTACAAAACAATACTTCTAGAATCGCCTGAACGACATGTACTTGTCCGTCCAACTGCTCAACACCTACGCCACATCATGCGATTTCACGATCGACCTCGTCGGCGAGTTCAGCCCCTACGGACAAGGTAAAAACATGCGCAAGTTTTTAATTATAAGAATCTCAGGTGGAACTCCCTTCGGCGCATTCCCCAGTCAGTTCCCGGGAGCCTGCGATGGACACATGGCCGAATTCATCGTCAGCGACTACACCCTCAACTCCCTCTTCTACCATATGCACCGGTATTTGTATAAATTCACTTGAATCCATTTCTTTACAGAAAGGGCTTCATCTCGTTCCGCATCGGGCCCGACACGCCCAAGATCGGCGAGCTGCTGAAGACGACTTGCTCGGAGGATGAGGACGATGAGCTGGAAGACCATGGTGTTGAGGTGCGGCTCTCTTTTTGGGGCCTAACAAAATTATTTTAGCTCGATGAGGAGGATGACGAGGAGCGGCGCAAGCTGAAGAAACGCCGTCACGCCATCCACGATATGGTAGCTACTTCGCGATTTTCACAATCGAATATTTCTAGCTTCACCGTATCGCACGTCACTCCGTCGCAAAGCGAGCCCACTCTCACGTTCGTCGCCACAGCGGCAAACGCGGAAGGAGACAAGGTAAGGACAACCTTTTATGGTCCTTTTTTTCCCCCTCCTTTTTTTTTTTTTTTTTTTTTTTTTTTTTTTTTTTTTTTTTTTTTTTTTTTTTTTTTTTTTTTTTTTTTTTTTTTTTTTTTTTTGTTTTTCTTTTTTTTTTTAAATTTTTTTTAAAAAAATTTTTATTTTTTTTTTTTTTTTTTTTTTTTTTTTTTTTATTTTTTTTTTTTTTTTTTTTTAAAATGGTCCCCCCTAATCAGTACACAGCCTTCCCCCTCCCCTCCAGATGGCGGTGGACTGGCCGATCTCGGCATCTGCTTCGGCGACATCCTGCCCGCCGTCCGCGAGAAGTACCCGAACCAAAAGATCAGGTTAGTTCTATACACATTCTTTCATACTGTAACTCCCCCCTAGCATCCTGATCCACACGATCCGAGCCCCGTCGGTGATCCTCTCGGGAGCCCGAGGAGGCATGGCCACCATCGACCTCGGAGCCGATGCCGACATCTACATCGATGGGACCAACACCAAGGTTCTAAATTATTACTAACTAGCACTCTCTGAATTCTCCTTTACAGGTTGGCACTATCACCATCAACGCAGTCGTCCAAATCACGGCCCAAGTGTCCGGAAACCGTATCACCGGCCAGGCGGAGATCAGCAGCCTGCAGCTACGGTAAAAGAGTAGGAGTTTACAAACCACTTCTCGTTTTAGCGACAGCACCGGATCGTTGGGACTTCCACAGGATGCCCTCGACAATCTTGGCAATTTGGGCAAGGAGTTGTTGACCAAGGTGGGTGGCAGAAGCGGATAAGCGCTTGCTCCGCTTTAGGAAAATGGTCAGAACAAAATTTTTTTATTAAAGAAAACCAAATTTTTTTTTGAATGTAGATCGCGGAATTGTTTCTAAAACGTCTTCTACGATCCCTAAACGTAAAAACTTTACAGATTGTTAGTAAAAAAAATACAAAAAATATAGATTTTTCGGCCATAAATGGCTTTTTTTGACCAAAATGTCATTTTCGAATTTTTTAGATAGTTTTTCTAGTTAGATATAGTTTTATGTTACTATGTACATGAAAATAGTTCCTATTAAGTTCCTAGACATTTCTAGATTAATACAAAAAAATTGTTTCCCCTCCCCTCGAGACTGCGAAAGAACCAAACTAACAAATGATCAAAAATACGAAATAGATCGCTAATGACGCTCTCGGCAAAGGAGTCAACATCAATATCCCCAACACTGGAGCCCTGCCATTCCAGATTATCAACCCACAGATCCAGGTAAGCGCCAAAATCAGTTAACAACCAAGAAACCCCTTAGATCGTTGAACACGGGCTGTACATTGCCACCGACATCTCGGTCGACGCAAATGCCCTCGGCCTGGGGGCCAGCGGAGGCTGCGGCTGCCCAACCTGCTAAAAACCACACCAAAACCCCCCGAACCCACCCCCGCATTCCGACTGCCCGATGCTCTAGTCAGCACACAATGTACCCGAAGCACCTATTTACTTGTTTCTACTAGATTTTTCATCGAGAGCCTTGTTGCTTACAAGGAGACGTTTTTAGTGACCTAGGAATTAGTTTTTAGCAACTGACAATCGCGTTTCCGTACGCGGCCAAGCTTAACTTGTGCAGAATTTTTTGCTGATTCCGAACCCGTTTTCAAGATCTGCGAAATGATCAAGTTCAACAAGTTATGAAGCTTTTCCCGGCGCAACAAGGTAAAATTTTGCCGAAATTGGGCCATTTTCGGACTCAAAAGCTTCATAATTGTGAATTTGACCGTTTCGCAGGTTCTGAAAAGTAAGTCTTGATCAGCGAAAAATTCTACACCAAACAGGCTTAGTCCCATTTGACAACTTCGTGGACACTCAAAAACGTTTCCTTCTCAGCCAGCCTTTGCAAATTTTGAGCACTAAAAACTACCACCCAGGCTCTCCCAAATCTTTTCCCGATGCTAATGGTGCTAAAAACGAAATCTTTCAACCTAATTGCCTCCCTCCTGGTGCTCAACTCCCCCCAAAATCACTTAGAAAACCCCGGTTCCCCTAATATTTTATTATTATTTTTATTGTTTCGGTATAATTTATCCCCCCCCCTGTCTGACTACGTGTACTTGCGTCTGTCACTTCCCTAACTATGCTTTCGCGCCTTATTTTTATCCTGGGAAAATTGGATTATTTTTATTTGTTTTTATGGTAACCCCGGAACGTCCCCCACCCCCGCATTGTTGCTCATCGATCTTGGGAACGTTTTTGCCGCGCTAGACAGCTGGAAGCAGAAGAAGAAGTAGAAGAAAAAGCATTCGACCCACACTCCACCCGATCGCCCACCATTTTCTGTATTATATTTTTGACGTGGTGCCCTCCCCCGAATACAGAGAAACCCCCTTGCCATGCGGATTCATCAATAAATGATATTTTTTTATCTTCAAAATCGCACTTGGAGGACAGCAGCTGCAAAAAAAACCAAAGCTTTTAGAAGATTTTTGGGCTTTTTGAGATTGGAAATTTTGGCGAAAGGCAACGCTTTGAAGCTAGTGACAGATGGCTGTAAACTGGACTGCATCGTAGCCTGTCTTTCTCAAATTGTTTTTTGTTTTTTTACAACTTTAGAAAATTGGATCGGTGGGTCGTTAGCGAGTTTTACTCTTTTTAGCGAAAATGATCGTATCCGCTTAGATTGCCCTTCTAAAAACCGCGCTAACTATCAAGGATTGATTGCTTTTGGGTATTCGGTCAGCCTATAATTTGATAACTATCCGAGACCAGTTTCGTTTTCCGCACGCGCGACTACCAGTAGGAATGGAGGCTGAAATTGCTGGCATACTATCGTCACTTGTAGCTTGCTCGGCGGGGGATTGTCGCTGCGTTTCCCGTTTCTTGTATTCTAGACCCGATCGTTCATCCCGATATGTTCTCATATATTTTGCGTTTTGCCGTGTCTCTCTCTATCTTCTCTTTAGGCGACGCCTCCATATACAAAAGACGATGGGACTACTCCCTGAAATAGTGACAGCCCTACTATCAAGTGTAAGTATCTTGCTGAAATACTATGTTTTTAGCCATGGATTCTTCTCGCCATGGTCGTCGCCGCGCTGATGGCCGTCGGTGTGCTCGCCCTAATAAATGTTAACGTGGAGGCCGAAGCCCCGGCGCCAGGTTTTGGACGGCAAATTTTTGAGCTCTGTGGTTTCAGAAAGCCCTCCCCGTCGAATCACACAAACGCAGCCGCAAGAAGATCAGCCAGCCTCCAAAAACCCGCTGCTCCCCGACACGGACGGCGCCAACAGGCAGCGCCAACGAAAACGGGATTGGGCCAAAAAGGTCTATCAAAGCCTTACGGTAGTTAATTTCTAAATTTCATACATTGGTTTCTTTCCAGCAAACGTCCCGTTTGGATGATGGAGGTGGGATCCTTGAGCCGAGGGATGAAAAGCTCATTCGAAGGAACTCCACGGCAACGCCCCTCCAAATGGCTAAAGAGTAGTTTTTGACGAATCGTATATAAATTTTTTCAGGATAAAACGTCGCACAATGCACTACTTCCGTCCAAAGAATGGCGGCAACCACATCGGAAGTCGCGAAGCCCTACCACGCCCGCCAATGGAATTCTTTGAGCCGGCTGACCTGCCCGAGATCCCGATGAATCTGACGCCCGAAGTCTTCTACATCATGCACAATCTAAAGTAATACTACTACTGAAGATTTATCGGTATTTTTAGGATGCTGGAGCTTCCGGCCGAGTGGCGACTAGATCCGAAGGAAATCCATGTGCGGCAATATGAGGCTGGGGAATATGTCGTGAGCCCGGGTGATGATGACGACAGCATCTTTGTGCCGCTAGAAGGAGCTCTGGCTGTCTACATTTCGCCGACCGAGGGCAAGGACAGCAAAGGATACTTGGTAAATTGAAATATTTGGATGGTATTTGCTTTATGAAATATACGTACGTCCCCGCTCCGGTCACATTTTCAAAATTGTAATTATAGTTTTAAGCAGGACTTTTAAGCAATTTAAAGTAGTAAAATCAGCAGGATTGGTGAAAATTGAGCAAATCTATCCCAATTTTCGGCGTTTTGGGCAACCGAAAAACAGAAGCGTTGAGGAGAACATAACCTTTTATAGGTCAAGAAAATCTACCGCGGAAGCGCGTTCTTCTCCTTGCTCTCCATGCTCGACATCCTTATGGACCACCCATCCGTCTTCAAGACGGTCAGCCTCCGCGCCATCGAGAGCACAAAAGTGGCGCGCTTCTCCATCCGATCGTTCGTCGATGCCTACAAGGAAAATCCGCACTCCTGGTCCAGGCCGATTCAGGTAATTTGCTTTTTTCTAACCACTTTTTCTAACCATTCTTTTAGATAGTCTGCACACGCCTTCTACACGTAACGATGACCACTCTGCACAACTACATGGGCCTCAGCTCGGAGCTGATGAAGCCGGTATCATTATTTAGCTCTTGAAATTTTTATTTTGCAGCGACCCAAGGACATCCGGGCCAAGCTTCTATCTTCGGCCAGCGGAAGTGCTTTGGTCGAGCCCGCCGGCAGCCGCAAGGGGCGCAAGAACTCTGGACGCGGAAAAACTCAGAATGCCTATTTAGACGGTATTATAGTGCCTTTTCATGTCAAAACCAATTTCTTTGCAGCAAGCCCCGATGAAAAGCCGGAAATCGCCGCAAAATGGTTTGCCGATGCCCTGAAGCTGGTCAAACCTACCGACTATAAACTACTGGGCGAGCTGAAAATTCAGGTATTTTTCTGGCGAATTAGTCTAACTAAATTTTAGGCGTTCGAAGAAGGTGACATCATCATCGAGCAGGGCTGCGAGGAGGAGCGACTGGCGCTCGTCCTCACCGGGACCATTTGCCTCAACCAGGACCCCGTCTTCCCCGACCCAGAAGATTCTGAAGAGGTGGAAGCCGAAGAGAAATGGGCCACCACCATCGGGCCAAAAGAGTTGATCGGCGGGTTGCAGGTATCTTTGAAATACGTTAATTCTTTAATACTTATTTAGGTGCTCACCAACGAGCCTTCCTTCTATACGTATCGGGCAAAGACAGGCGCGTTAATCGCCTTTCTCGAGAAGGATACAATTTTGTCGTAAGTTTGTTTCTGGTCTTTTTTTGTCAGTTTTTTCGATGTTTTGAGATAATTTTTGCAACTTTTATAGGCTCATCGAGAAGCGGCCGATCGTCTATTTGTCGGTCGCCCATTCCGTGCTGTCCCGGCTCTCTTCATTTGTTCGGGGCGTCGATTTTGCTCTGGATTGGGTGCTCGTCGACAGTGGACAAGCAGCTTACAAGTAATTGATCGCTTTTATTTACTCTAGTTCCTTTATAGACAAGGCGATATCCCGGATTCGATTTTCGTCGTGCTCTCCGGACGTTTGCGCTCTGTCGAGAAGAAAACGGTCATTGAGGAGTTCGGGCGCGGCGATGTTTTAGGAATGGTATGTAGAGGGTTTCTTTCCAGACTTTTTTCGTAGATTGAGCTCCTCCAAAAGAAGCCTCGCGCAACAACGGTGCTGGCGGTGCGATTTTCGCAGCTGGCCAAAATCCCGGAGGGCCTTCTCAATTTCATCAAGATGTCCTATCCACAGGTGAATTTTTAATAGTAGTAGGTGAATCCGCTAGGTCGTGCTCTTTTCGTCTAAACTGGTTTAGTTTTGTTTGTTTTTTACAGGTCGGCTTCCGTCTTGTCCACCTACTTGGCCAATACTACACTCAACTTCACCGTCGCTCCATCAACGCTCCATCGGCTCCGACCCGATTCGTTGATCAGACCGGCGCCGATCCGATGAGCCACATCAAGGTTTTATCAAATTTCTTTCTTCTAAATTTTTTGGAATAGAATCTACGAACGATCGCGGTTATCCCGGCTTTCCCGGAAGTCCCGCTGACTCCATTTACCTGCGAGCTCTACCGGGCCCTCAGCAACAATTGCCGGTTCGGACTCTCTCCTTTCTTATTCTCTTTTTCAGGGTGATTCGCCTGAGTGCTGACAAAGTGGGTCGCTGCCTGCACCCGGACGTACTTGATAAGTAAGGCTTTTGGACTGATTATCAGGCAGTTTTTAGGCAAGCCGACTTCCGTCTCATGCACTGGCTGAACGTGCAGGAGGAGTCTTACTCGCTGGTCATCTACGAGTGTGACTACACCGCAACGAATTGGACCCGTCGGTATGACAAATCATTTGAAGCTCAGTTTTGTTCCTCTTCTAGATGCCTTCGCCAAGCCGACGCCATTCTTCTGGTCGGCATTGGGACGAAGGCGCCACCACGTCATTCTTTGATTGATGAGGTAGTTTAGTGGTCTTAAATTACTAAGCTGTTATAAACCTTTTTTAAATTGAAATTAGGAAATTTTTTTCTCAAAATGAAATAAAACTAAATAGAATCATAAAAGAGGAAAGTTTTTGGAAAAACATTAACCTAGTGTTAATCCTTTTTTAGGTGTACGCCCTAAACCAGCAAGACGGCCTGCGCGCCAACAAGGAATTGGTGCTGTTGTGGCCCGAAGACACGACAACGCCAACCGGAACCTACCAATGGCTGAAGGTAGCTTTTTAGGGCGCTAAAAAATTTTTGATTAGGGTTCCTACTTCTCTGGCCATCACCATATCAGGGCGCCGAAGCGCATGTTCAAGTGGCCATTGCAAGGCGATGGTACTAAGAAGGTAAAGATAGTTGTCAAGCTTATAACTTATTCCTTTTAGTTCTCCGAGCAACAAATTGTCGAGTACTACGAGGAGAACGTGTTCTGCGAGAAGGTCGACATCCGCTCCGATTTTGGCCGGTTGGCCCGCATCCTCACTGGCAATTCGATTGGGCTTGTGTTGGGCGGTGGAGGGGCCAGGTGAGGAGGACTTTTTGGACTTTTGACAAGAACTACTTACAGAGGCGCCGCCCACATTGGTGTGATCCACGCGATGACTGAGCTCGGGATCCCCGTGGACATGGTCGGCGGGACGAGCATCGGCTCGATGATCGGAGGCCTCTTTGCCGAGACCCCGGACTCTGCCCTTGGGCCGCGTGCCAAGAATTGGTTTATGGTATGTCGTTCTTTTCCGAGCTTTCTGCCTTTTTTGCGCATTACGAAAACATTTTCGAGTATTATATTTTTGCAAATTTCAGAATTACGAAAAAATGGCCTCTAGTGGTTCAGAACATCTTGGCGACCATGTGCATTTTAAAAATAGAGGTTTTTCGAAAATCGATTTTTTTTAGGGCATGTGCTCATTCTGGCGCAAGATCTGGGATCTCACCTACGCGCACACTGCCATGTTCACCGGCGCCGGCTTCAACAAGGTTCTTTGCATATTTTTTTGATTGTTTAACCCAATAGACGCTACGCGATCTTTTCGGCGACCGTGAGATTGAAGACTTGTGGATCCCGTACTTCTGCATCTCGACGGATATTAGGTATGTGTACACTATTCTATTTTACTTTATTTTTAGCACTTCCGAGATGCGTGTCCACCGTTCCGGACCACTTTGGGCCTACGCCCGGGCTTCAATGTCTCTGGCCGGCTACCTTCCACCGATTTGCGATCCCCAAGATGGGCACCATCTCCTCGATGGTGGATATGTCAACAATCTGCCGGCCGACGTGATGAGGCTCGTCCTTCGTTAAAAAGATATGTTTTTTAGATCCATGGGTGCCCGCGTCGTAATTGCTGTTGACATCGGCTCGGTGGAAGAGACAAATCTCCACAACTATGGCGATCAGCTCTCCGGGACCTTCCTTTTGTTCAAGTCCGTTACCCGCCTAGTTATCAAATCTCTTTAGAAAATTCAACCCATGGTCCCAGCCGATTCGCATCTTGAACATGGAGGAGATCCAGGTATCACTTGGTTCCCTTTGTGATGTTTCAACCTTTTCAGACCCGATTGGCCTTCGTCTCGTGCGTGCGCAACTTGGAGACGGTCAAGAAAGCGCCTTATTGCTGCTACCTGCGACCGCCGATCGAGCCCTTCCAGACGCTAGATTTCGGCCGATTCGAGGCGATCATGGTCAATTTTCACTAAATATTGGGGGTTTTTTAGTATTTTAGTAGTGGCCCAAAATTTTTGATAGCTGTATCCCAGGTGTCAAGCTATTTAAAGTTAGAAAACTAGATAAACAAATTTAAATATCTGTGGAGAAACCTGGGGTTTTAGTTTGTATTAATAAATATTTATAGTTTTGTGTTCAGGGCTATTAAAAAAGGGTGCAGAACCAATTTTTTTAGCGTGAATTTTCAGGAAGTTGGTCTCCGCTACGGGCAAAAGGCGATTGTCGAGCTACTGCGCGACAACGACAATCTTCGAAAGGCGCTCGGCTCGGACGAGTGCGTCTCTCGACTGGCTCGCCAGCTCAGCGGCATGGACAAGACCAGGATGGAGAGGTATTTCCAGATTTACTTTCTGAACTCGATTCCTAGATGCCTATCCACTTCGTTCACCGACCTTGCCGCCGCCATGTCCAAAGTGCCTCCGATGCGACGGCGCAGAAGCTCCCTGTCAGCCCTCGACCAGATTGACAACACCGAGATGGACGAGATCATTGACGAGCTGCTCAACACTGAAGGTATAGTTTGGGGGATTATGTCATAATGCCGAATTCCCATAACGTCGAATTTTGCAGTCTCTTTTCTCTTTCAAATTCGGCGTTATGAGATTCGTTATATAGGAAACTTCCTTTATGAGATTTCGGCGTTATGGTAATTCGGTATATAACAAATTCGCCATAATTGTTTGCTTCTTTCAGACAGCGAAGCGGCCGTACAGCGCTACTTCGAGGTGGCCGAAATGTCGATCGAGCAGGAGGATCCCCACAAAAAGAATATCTAATAAACCCCCGCGCCCCCGATATTGTGATTTACTATGTGCAAACGGATACGTGTATCACATTTTTTTGGTATAATGATCTCGGCAACTCGGCTCGCACAAGATTCCTTGTTTTCCACGTTCCCGCGCCGCTTTTAGAATGTGAAACTCCACGATCTCGTTGGGTATATTCGCGACCAGGCCTTACTTTAATTTAATATTATTACTACTCTCGTGCTCTGCTACTGTTCCGCGTTGTTCTGTGAATTTTACGTGATATAGATTTTTTGAAATAAAGGTGTTTCAGCCGGTGAGAGTTCGATTGACGTAATTAATTAATTTGTCATTTGGTGTAATTTCATTTTTCCATGCGAGCTGCAACTCTGAGGAAATTTATAAACTCTCTCCCTCCCTCCCTCTCTCTGTCTCTCTCTCTCCTCTCCATGGAAGAGTTTTTCAACACTAATTTAGACGCAGTTTTGTATGCTGAATCGGAAAATCATAGTGATAATGGCTCAGAGACCTGGAGAAAGTGAGGTCAACTCGGCACCTCAAGCCAGCACGCCCTGTACAGTAGGTTTTAATACCGTTGTAGGTTTACATTTTCATCCACCGTTTTCCCTTTGGTCACCGATGCGCCCATCTGTGTTCCCCTGGCCGTTCTGGGTGCCAACGACGTCTATTGGGTATTCTGGCGCCGCGGGGTAACGCCCGCTGCCGGGATAGATGCGTTTGTCGCGAAGAGCCTCCTCTGCCCCCCGGTTCCGGGGATGAATGGGGGCCCTGGATGGTGGTGTTGAGGCGGAAGAGGTGGACACAGAGACGAGCAGCAGATAGGCATTGAAGAGAGACAGATGTGTTGCGCACACCTCAACCAACTGGCGACAATCATCGCCGAAGGCCCATTCCCCTTCCCTCCACCTCCCTCCCTATGCTCTGCCTCTGGGCCCTTCACCCCCTTGTGGCCCAGCAGGGGCCAATCGATGGGCCCTCTCCCTCCTCCTACACCGTCCCCCGTCCCTCCCTTAGCTCGGGATGTATGTGTGTGGCCGCAACGCAACCGCCCCGTCTGCGCCTGTGGCAATGGCCTGGCCCTGGCCCCTGGGCCCCCGCTTCCCTACCCCCGTTCCATATCTGGGCGGGCCCAGCCTTGCCCACCCGCTACCTCACTCTATAACCCCCCAATTTTTGGGTTTAGCTTTTAATCCGTGGGGTTGTTGCTGGGCTTTTTGGGAGTTAGGGGATTATATTTATTAATATACCTTTTTTGAACGTTTAAATCCGAATTTTACGCCATTTCACGTGGTCCCAATAAAAGAACGCCCCCTCAAGCAAAGTATCGGATCGGACTGATAGTTACATCAGCCGAAAGCGTTTCTAACTGCGAGTTTGCAACAATCTTAAAAACGATGTTTTTATTTAAAAGTACCATTTTATAGCGCATTTTAAAAACCTTAAGCAACGGCCTCTGCGTCTAATTAACGGCTACTTCCGGTCATTTTCTATGGAGAAATTGAGGAAAATTAGCTCGTATGTAACCCCGAAAAAACGGCAAAATCTTAGGAAATGTTCTGTAAAATATACGATTTAAATACAAAGATGGGTTCGAAGAAATTGTAGGTGGGGTGGCTGATTGAGGCTGGATGCTAAAGCTCTTTTTAAGAAGCTTTGTATACTTCACTTTCCGAAGTTTCCCTTTCTTTTGCAGCTTTTTTAATCATTTCTTTATATTTTCTTTTCATTTTTGCCCTTCTTTTGCAAGTTTACGCCTCGCCCCCCCGCAATTATCGGCGCCCTTTTTGTAAGGTTGGCTAGCGCAAAAAGCTCGTAATTTTGGGGTTTAGCTCTTCCTATCATGAGAAACCCTTAAAGAGCCTTAAAAACATGCCATTTAGGCGCCTAATACGTTTTTTTTTGATAGAATTTTGTTTTTCGAAACTTTAGACGGGTTTTTACTTTCTAAAACTTGCTACTTTAAAAAAGAGCCCAATTCCGCTGCATTCGCCCTCCCGTATCTCATGCGCCAATCTAGCCCGCCTGTCAACTGCATTTGCTAATCCGCGCTCCCAGCCCCTGCCGACCGCGCTATTTTGTTTGGCGCACCTTTTAGGGTCAACGTTTAGCGTTTATGTTGTTAATTATGATATTTCGATTAAAAAAGCATTCGATTTAAAAGTTTAGAAATTTTCTTTGCGCCCTGCAAGACCTGCAAAAATATCGGTGGCCATTTTGCATATGGGGCCCACCAGGCGCTGCCTGCTCGGCGAGAATCGGGGCCGAAACTGGGGGCAGCGGGGGCATTTTTCCAATTTTCTCGTCCGGGGGCCCCGAAAAATGAGGGTGGGACCACTACAAAAGGGTCGATATCCCCCCATAGAATGTGGCTGTCGATAGGCGTCGTTCGGAAAATTTATTGTTGTTGGTGTTAAAAGGTTTATTTTGGTGTTTTTTTGGGTTTTTTGTAGGAGTTGATGCTAGTAGGAAAAACTCTATTTTTAAGAGGTAGGAAAAAGCGAAAAAAAAGTAGCTCCGAAGCCGAAGCCTCATGATTTAGAGCAGGCCTAAAGTTAAGTCTATGCTTAAGCCTACGCCATAAGTCTAAACCTAAGACAAAGCCCAAGCCTAAGCCTAAGCTAAGCCTAGCCCTAAGTCTGAACCAAAGCCTAATTCTACGCCTAAGCCGAAGCTTAAGCCTAATCTTAAGCCTAAGCACCCAACTTTCATTCGAAAAACCAATCCCAAGCCCTGACTTGTAAGTGGCAGGGTGTCAGTATCTGTTAGCGACAGCCCCCTCTCCTGCTTTCCTCGCCCCTTTAGCGTCTCTGTCTGTCTGTCTGTGTGTATAGTGTTGTGGCGGAAAGCCGTCGTTCCCCCGTGTGCCCAAAATGGGGCTCTGGGTGCCGTTCCCAGACCCATTCCGTTTCCGGCCTAATGCCGCGCGACCCGCCCCACACCCCCCACGGGAACGAACGAACGAACGGGACTGGTGAAGCCCGGGGAAGCCCCGCGCAACGATACACACACAGCACACCCATCAACCGTCGAATTTCAGCGGCCGCAGCGCCGCGCCGCGCGAATGGCCAATTACGGGCCACGGCCGGGAGGGAATGGGTTTGGGAATTGCGGGAATTTGTTTCGTGGGGGGCTTATGACATTGAGGGTTTGAACGGCTGATTTTCGTTTAGTCGAAAAACATTTTGTCGAAATTTCAAAGCCTTTTCACCTTAATTATTCATCTCAAAAAGGTCGCAAATTTAAAGGGCTCTGCGGGGGAAACCAAATTTTTCCCTTGTTCTTCTCTATGGCCCTATAACAAAGTATTAGCCATATTTATAGCCAGGGGCGTAGCCAGAAAAAAATTTCGGGGGGCCCGAAAAATTCTTTCCGAAAAACTCAAACAATTAAAAAGAAAACAGCGCCGCAGGCAAAAAAAAAATTAGAAACAAGGCTATGTAGCTCTACAAATAGTCGTAAAAACGTGAAAAAATAGCGCCGCAGGCAGCAAAATTTTTGAGAAAATAAAAATCATAAGGGTCCCCCCTTATGAAATTTTCGGGCCCCGGCCGATTTCGGGGGGGGGGGGGCCGGGCCCCCGGGGCCTGTATTACGCTACGTCCCTGTTTATAGCAGTGTACATAGTTTTTAGACATCAAAATATATCAAAATTAACAAAACTTTTCGAAAATTTTGACTTTTTGGTTAAAATTGTATGAAAATTATCGTAAAAGGTCAAAATTTGTGAATTTTCAAAGTTTTGATAACTTTCTAGCAATCAAAAAACTACTAAAACACTATACAATAAATAAAATATCATCAACAGGTAGGTAAAGATGGAAAAACAGAAAGTGATTCCCCCCTGCTAACAGTCCAGAACCAATTTATTCAGCGCATTGAAATTGCGACAAAATGGGTTACGACAAACGCCAGAAAATCTATAGAAAATTAGATAAATCGAAAAACCGTTTGCGCTGCGTGTCGCGGCGCGTTTGAAATCTGTATGAAATCCATAGGAAAGAACAGAATTATTGGCTCATCCCTTTAGTGTTTTCTGCTAGCCTGCCTTTTTCCAGTCAGAATCCCTTCCCTCCCGTGTTTCCGGCAATAATTTGCATCGGTTGCTTCTAGCTCTCCCCGGCCCACATCTGCCCCCCATCCTCCTCCTCCTCCTCATCGTTTTCCCGGGCCCCTTCACGCCCAAATCGTTTATGCGATTCGGGCCATATGGCTGGGCTCGCGACCCTAGCCCGTGGTTCGTCCAAGATTTTTGGCGTCAGAGGCCTCGCCTCTATTTTAAGGGTTTTAAAGGGATTGGCATGCCAAAGCTCACGTTTTAAGCATTTTAGCTCTAAAGTCGGCTTCTGCTTAGGCTTAGGCTTAGACTTAGGTTTGACTTAAACCTCACCCCGAAAAAACACATCATTCCCGCGTGAAACGAGTGGGTATTGGGGGGTAGAGAGGTGCGGGGGCGCTGCTAGCGGAGGGTGGAAAAGCCGTGTGTGTCGAGTATCGAACGGAGGCTTCACTCCATCTCTCTCTCTCCCTCTCTCTCTCTCACTCTCTCTCTCTCTCTCTCTCTCTCTCTCTTTTCTATGGCCCATCCCCTGCCGGGCGCTCCCGAATATCGGAAATGTTCTTCCAGAAGGCACAGCTCGCGTCTCTCTCTCTCTCTCTCTCTCTCTCTCTCTCCCTCTCTCTCTCTCTCTCGTTTTAGGTAGCTCTACTCAAACACTCCCCTTTCCATTTTCTGCAGGATTGGCCCTTCACTTTTTTGGACCAGAAGATGGAAACTTCCTGATTTTACTTATGTTTCGAGTTGAACTGAATCAAGCCGTTCGAGAAACCAAACTCTCCACTTCCTATGCTGCTGTGTTTCTCTGGCCGGGGGCACCGCGGATTCCAATCGGTCATCGCCACCTCGTGCTCCCCACCCGGCTCGAACAGCTGCCCCGCCTCGAACTCCAGAGCTTTAATGGCATTTTGATCTCAATTGCCCCGCGGGGTTGCATATTTTCGGGTTCTTT